GACACACGCAGAGAGCTGTGATGTCCTGGGACACACGCAGGGAGATGCGACATCCCAGGACACGTGCAGCAAGATGTGATGTCCCGGGATGCGTGCAGCGAGATGTGATGTCCCAGGACACGTGGAGCAAGATGTGATGTCCCAGGACACATGCAGCGAGATGCGACGTCCCGGGACACACGCAGAGAGCTGTGATGTCCCAGGACACATGCAGCGAGATGTGATGTCCCAGGACACGTGCAGCGAGATGTGACGTCCCAGGACACGTGGAGCAAGATGTGACGTCCCAGGACACATGCAGCGAGGTGCGACGTCCCGGGACACACGCAGAGAGCTGTAATGTCCCAGGACATACGCAGCGAGATGTGATGTCCCAGGACACACTCAGGGAGATGCCATGTCCCGGGATGTGCGCAGTGAGATCACAGAATCCCAGAATGTCCAAGGTTGGAAGGGACCTCTAGAGATCATCTAGTGCAACCCCCTTGCTCCAGCAGGGACACCCAGAGCACGGGGCACAGGGCGGCATCCAGGCRGGTTTTGAAGACCTCCAGAGAAGGAGACTCCACAACCTCCCAGTGCAGCCCATTCCACTGCTCTGTCACCATAACAGTAAAGAAGTTCCTCCTCACCTGGAGAGTTTCGCCTCACCTGGAGATGCGACGTCCCGGGACGCGTGCAGCAAGATGTGATGTCCCGGGACACACGCAGCGAGATGTGACATCCCGGGACACGAGCATTGAGCCGGTGTTCCTGGCGCTCACCGGGAGCCCGGGGCGCTGCASGTGTTAGGCTCAGCCTGGGACTCGTCCTCTCCCCAGAGCCCTGTGCAGGAGCCCGGCTGGGACCCCCTTGTGCGGCCGCCGGGCCAGGCTGCTCTGCTCCTCGGCGCCCCCAAGACATCTCCGCTCGGCTGCTACCCCCGGGATGCCCTGGGGCTTGGGGGCTGCTTTTGGTTGAGGGGTCAGGGAGGAGGAGGAGGATGGTCACAGTTCTGGGGACAAAAACAGAAAATAAATCAATGCAGGAAGGAGATGGCAGGAGCTGCCTTGTCCCGGGTTATCAGGGCAGTCATTCAATGTGTTTCCAGGGTCTGTCCATCAAGACATCAGGAAAGTCGTTTCGACACTGCCTTAGGGCAGCCGTGATGTTGGAAGAAATAACTCAGAGTTTTCTTGGGAAAAAGCCGTGTCTTTGCCATAGTGTGCAACACTGAATATAAATCTAGAGCGCCACAGTGGGCAACTGGATCCAGTTTCTTCTTCCTCAAGTTCATATTCACATCAGTCTTTTCTTACGCTTAAAATGACCGTTCAACAGTTTGATTCCTTCTTTAAAATCTTCTTTCCAGCCTAAATATAAATATATGTCCAATTGATGTCCATCAGCTGTTATTCTAGCAATGTCTTTACATTTAATTAGGTCTGGTTCCTCCTTGGTGTTTGGTCCTTTCAGCTTATTTCTGTAAAAATGAAGTTCTTAACCATCAACCCAGTTACCATTTCTGGCAAATTTCCTGATATTTTTGGTCTAGTTTCTAAGAATTACTCCTTTCAGATGAGCATCGCTTTCTGGAAATACAACTTGGTAGATTCCTTACTTGTCAGAAGCAAGTCAAGAACGGCCGCCTGCCTTCCTGAGCCACTGAAYACGTCCCTCAGCTGCTTCATTTGGAAGTATCTGGATCCCATGTTAGAGTGTCCATGATCCCGTCTAGTCTGGGCCTGGCAAGCAGGTCTTCGATGAGCTCTATACGTTTTTATGTTGAAAATAGGTGGGTTCCCAGTGTGCCGCCAGTGATGAGCAGAGCACTCTCTTGACCACCGTGTTTCTGTCTGTCACCTGGAGAGTTCACGTTTTTCAATGTTTGCATTTCACTGGTTTTGCACCTGGGAAGACGTCCTTAGGGGCTGGGTGATATCGGGCTGTTCTTCAYGAAGCAGCTGGCAGGAGCTACCGACTCTGCAGTTGACTCAGGCACCAAAGGAAATGGCAAAGAACTTAGTTCTAGTCCTTCATTTCCTTTGGTTTGTTTTGATCTTGGCAGAGTGCAGAACTCCCCCCGGCTCTTGGTGTGATCGCRGTGAAAGTCAAGGCTTTGTGGGGAGGGCTTGAGGAAGACAAGGGTCCTGCTTCTCCAGCAGCCCCTGGTGTGGCCTGGCCTAAGGCAACAGGACACGGCGTTGGGGACAGTCCCTCTGCAGCAGCCGCTCTCTGCTCTGCCCTCCGGTTCCAGGCACCTGCAGGAGAGCAGATTTGCTCCTCTCCAGGTGCCTCTGTGCTCTTCTTTCACTTGCCTCCCCTGCTCCTTGGCCCTGACAGATCCCTGAGTCCCGTATCTTGCTCCCTTCCCTCCAGCCTACCACGCATCCCACATCTTCCCTCTCGYGACCTCGACAGCACGAGCAGTTCCTGCCGGTGTCCCGGGTAGAGGTGGTTGCATTTCAAGTTTGAGCAAAAGTTTTTGCTTTCGGAGCTTGGGCCCAATGTGGTGTGTGGAGGTGGGAAGGAGGAAGGAGAGATGCCTCTCTATTGTGCAGCCACAGTGTTGAGCCTGAGTGCAGAAGGGAGCAGAGGAGGGAGCCAGCGGGACAAAGCAGATGGCTCCTTCTGGCTCGTGGCTTTGCTCTGCTGGTGGAGACCCACCAGCCGCCCAGGGTGCTCRGGAAGAGGGGCAGTTCTCGTTGCCACCTGCCACCGTGGGGTGGCCCCTAATCTGCCAGGAGCTGTGTGGAGTTAGACCCCAAAGGGAGCCGTGTGGTAGGGCTGTGATAGGGGCACCGTCCTTGCTTCTCTGTCCAGTCCCATCCCACTGGTTCTCCATTTGCTTTGTGGTGGACATTCCTTCTGAAATGTTCATGACAAGCAAACTGACTCTGGGTCTTGAGATGCAGCTGAGGGATCAGCTGTGCAAAAGGCCTGGTCTAAATGCGTTGTAGCTCCGGTCCAGACACCCCGGCTCATGCAGATGCGTGGGAGATGCATGCACAGCAAGGATGAGCTCCTGCACCCGTTCCGCCCATCCCTGCGCTCCAGGGTGGTCTTGGCCTCTCGCTCCTGTGCTGACTGGTAACCTGTGTCCCTTCCCTTGCAGCTGACACTGACTATCGTGCGGCAGACAGGGGGGCTGGGCATCAGCATCGCAGGGGGCAAGGGCTCTACCCCCTATAAGGGTGACGACGAGGTAAGACCCTGGGTCGGTGAAGCACCCGCTGCAGGGGCTGGTTCTCTGCCAGGAGGTCGATGTGCCCGGCTATCGGAGCTGGGGCCGGGTGGGAGCCGTCCTTGACCCTGCCAGGAGCAGGAAGGGCTGCACAAGCTGTTGCCTCCGGGCCCCACATTCCGGTGCTCCAGCCCACATGGAGCAGGAGTGCGGAGCAGCCTGTGTGCGCCCAGCTGTGCCCACATGTGCAGGACACCAAAGCRGGAGCTGGGGTCGCCTTCCGTGCCCGTGGTAGCGACGGTTGTTCCTGCTCCCATCCCACTGGAAGAGCATTGGGTGTCGTCCCCTTTGTCACCTGTTAGATAGCCCTGCAAGGAGACTTCCTTCCCCTTCGCCCGGCTCCCGCACAGGGGGGCGCGTCTGTCCCATTTTCCCAGTCCGGGATGCTGGTGGTGAGGGGTTTAGCGTGTCCTGGAACCTGAGCAGGGCTGAGCGTTCTCCCTCCACACCCTCCACGCTTGAGGAACGGGCTTCACCTCTTCTAATATATAGGGTGTTTTGTTTTCAGGGCATCTTTATCTCACGTGTGTCAGAGGAGGGCCCTGCAGCTCGTGCCGGGGTTCGTGTTGGGGACAAGCTCCTGGAGGTAAGAACCTACGCGATGTGACAAGCGGGTGAGCAGATCCAGGGGTGACTTGAGAGTTCAGGGGAGCCTCAGGTCTGGGGTTTACCTGTGTGACACGGGTCGGGAGGCCAAGTTAAGCATAAACAGCTGTGCAGGAACAAAACAAAATCCCTCAGCTCAGAGAGCTGCTTGTGCAGTTTACGTTACCATTGATCCGTTGCTGTTCTATAAGGATAGAAATTGCTCCTGCAATCACTGCTTCCAGCTCTGAAGTGACAGGCAAGTAGGGATCTCAAGCAGCACGTGCTGGCACCTCCACACACCGACCACCCAGCCTCCTTGGCCCTTTCTGCTTGCTTATGTGGGCAAAAAGCACCCCGTGAGACAGGTTCATGACCGCGCTGTGCTCGGCTCCGCRTGTCCCCAGGTGAACGGCGTGTCCCTGCACTGCGCCGAGCACCACGTGGCGGTGGAGGCGCTGCGCGGCTCGGGGAGCTCCGTCTCCATGACCGTGCTGCGGGAGCGGATGGTGGAGCCCGAGAACGCCATCACGGTGACGGCGCTGCGCCCCGAGGACGACTACAGCCCTCGGGAGAGGCGAGGCGGCCTGCGCTTCCCAGAGCGGCCCGAGCCCGCGCCTCCCACCCAGAGGTTCTCCGCCTGCCTCATGCGCAACGAGAAGGGCCTGGGCTTCAGCATCGCGGGTGGCAAAGGCTCCACGCCGTACCGGGCGGGTGACACGGTCAGTGCTGAGCTGGGACGAAGGGCTCGGGCAGTGGGCTCTGCCCGCCCGCGGGAGCAGCGTGGCTTGTAGCCCGGCCGGGCTCCAGGGCTGCAGGCAGGCGGGCTGGGCAGGCATCGCTCTCCCTGTGCCGGGAATCCGTCCCAAGCTGGGCACGGAGGTGGGGCTGAGGCRCCAGTGACACTTAATCCCTGCCCCTGGCCTCCTGACCACACGCATATCCCGGGCTGTTGGCCATGTGAAGGCTCGGCTGCAGCCAGGGCTTCTGCGGGTGGCTCTGGAAGCGCAGAGGACTGGAGGCAGAGGGGTGACGGGTGGGAAGGGGCTGGGACTTACCGAGTGCCAGGCAGCGAATGCGTGTGCCCGCAGCCGGCTCTGACCTTGCTCGCCGTGTTCCAGGGCATCTTTATCTCGCGGATTGCAGAAGGCGGCGCAGCCCATCGGGATGGCACTCTGCGCGTAGGAGACCGGGTCATCTCGGTGAGTGCGGCCGTGTGGGGAGGGCAGCGGGGCCTGGCAAGGGCCACCGGATTCGTGGCTCYTGGGGCAGCGATTGCAGGTCCAGCTCCTCACACTGGAGCTGCTTTTCTGTCACTCAAGCTGCAGTTTTGGGGTCCTTTTCTTCAGCTCCCTGGCCATCTGGGAGGGCATTTCAACCTTGGTGGCTCTCCCCCTGCCCCGTCAGCAGCTTGTGGCTGGCGGTGGCTGTAGGCAATGCCTGCCCCTTTTGGGGGGGAAAGCCCCAAAATGCGATGTCCAAGCACTGCCCCAAAGGGCTTGCGTGCAGCCCCGCCGGCYGCCCGGGTCCCGTGGCCCTGCCCTGGCCCTGGCTTCTCTCCAGAGCCTCCGGAGGCCTCTCCTGCCGTGCACGAGGACACGTGGGACCCTTCGGGGCACAGTTGGCACCCGCTGCCCCTGGAAAGCAAAGTGAGACGGAGGCGGGCAGGGTGCTGGGGGCTCGGCTGCAGTCCGCCCTCTGCCCCCTTGAAACGCTGGTTGCCGGTGGTGTGAACCCAACCGCTGCCGTTAGCCACCGARCCTCTGCGCCTGCCTGCGACCTGCTGCCCGTGGTGCGCCGGGCTGCCGCTCTCCTGCCGCTCCAGAGCCCCTGCATCCCGCTGCTGGTGGTGGCTTTCCGGCGCAGCCGCTGCGGTGCGACACGCGCTCCCGCAGGGCTGCCGTGCGTAAGCACTGAGACAGCCTCGTCAGTGCTGGCTTCTGTCTGCTCTATCCCTAGGCTGGGGGCTGTGTTGTATTCTCTGCCGCACAAAGTTTTAGTGGAGTTCTGGACCACGTTGGCAGCCCTGCCTCGACAGGGGACCTCAGGTGGTTCTGCCCTCTTCTTCCTTGCTCGTGTTATCCTCTGCCCCCCAAATCAAGCTAGCCTAATCTGCTTAGTTCCAGCTCCCATTTGGATGCTGCACCGGTATGGAGGCATGACTGGGAGACGTAACTCCTGGCGCTCAACCCGTTGTGTGGTGTTGAGTGGCCATTCCTGTGGCAAGAGAGAGACACAAGAGCACGGAGTAAAGTCTGAAGTGAAACCTTCTTCCAAGCACCCCCTATTAGCTGTTCCCTTTGTTTGTATCAGCAGCGTCTTAGCAAAAGCAGATCTAATTCCTAGAAACAGCTTGCAGAGTCTTCAGATTGCTCTGTGGGGGCTCAGGGCTTGCAGAACTCAAGAGCATTRATAGATTTTGGTATGGATTAAGGCCTTGCTGCCTTGCTGCGTGAGGAGCAGTCGCTGCACAGAGAGGAACCGTGTCCCCGCTTGGGAGCCGCCGGCTCCTTTGCTGCCCAGGATGAGGTGGGTGTTGAAGCAGGTGGAGGCTGAAGCCCCTGCCCGCGTTGTCCCCTGCGGTGGCCAAGGCTGGCGCTGGCTGATGTGGACGGGGCTGCTGTGGAGCTGCTTGGCCCAGGGGCTCAGGGCGCTGAGGGTCATTGCAGAGCAGCGCCTGGCCAACGCCACCCAAAGCCGCGTCCGGGCAGCGTTGGCTGCTCCTTGCTGGAAAGCCTCCCGGTGTCCGATGGTGCCGGGATGTGCTGTGCAGGCTGCAGGTGGGCCCTACATGTGCTTTAGGAAAGCAGCAGGGCCCTGCCAGGAAGCAGGGCTTTCCTATGTCCCGTTTGCCAAGGCCACAGTCTCCTGGTCATGCCTCCRTTATCTCTTTGCCAAAGATCTTTTTCCTCCTTAGGGAAAGAAATACAGCACAGCTTCCAATTCTCATCCTGTGCTCRAAGCCACCCTTGCCTCCTCAGCGGGGAAGGATGGGGACAGCTCCCTTCACTTGCCGCGGGGAGCTTTGAGTATATGGATTGAAGAGCCCAGCCTAGATCTCCTCAAAGTTAATACCCCACAAACCTCAGCTGGGCTTGACTGCTGACCTGCAGACCTGCCCGTGCRCCAGGCTCTCCTCTGACAGAGCTGCGTGGTGCATGTCATGAGAGCAGCAGTAAGGGGCGGGCTGCAGGGGGGTGCCAGGCAGTTGGGGCTACGGGGAGCACCCCGCCAGGCAGTGATGGGACAGTTTATTGGGGCAAAATTGGGAGCAGAATGAAGAAAACTGCCTCTGGAGTGAGGGAGGGCAGCAGCAGCGCTGGGTGGAGGGCAGAGGCCCAGGTTATTAGGCCCAGGTTATTAGGCTCAGGTTATTAGGCCCAGGTTATTAGGCCCAGGTTACTAGGCTCAGGTTATTAGGCCCAGGTTACTAGGAGGTTTTCCAGAGCTCCAGGACACAGACCTGTGCGGGCCCTTCCATCTCCGCCGGCACGGGATGGCCAAGCTGCTCTCTGTGTCCTCCTCCTCCTCCTCCTCCTCCTCCTCCTGCTAAGCAGAGGCGTGGGGATGAAGGCCGCGGAAAGCCGGCGGCCCCGAAGCTTAAAAGGCAGCAGGACTTGCTGGGCAATGGAGAAGTTGGGGAGGAAAAGCTGTGGCAAGTGCTGGACGTGATCGCTTTTGGCTCGGGCAGGTACCTTGGTGTATGCACGGGTGGCCAAGCCCAGTCGTTCCTACGTCCTTGCCAGTGGCACAGTGCTAACAGAGTGGTTTTCAGAGGGGAAGGGATGAARTGCAGGGTTCCTGCTCCTACTGCAGATCCATCTCTCCAACATACTTAGTCACACTGCAGTGGAAACGGCCCAGCCTCTTCTCTTGTGCCTCATCTTTGTTAAAAATTGCCTGATCGGCTGGGCTGGAGGACCCCAAGGGGTCCTTCCTTCCCCATCCCCTGGGTGTGAGGATGCAGTTCCTCCCCATTGCCTCATTAGCGAAGCTGAGCACGCTTTCCCAGCGTGAGGGAGCAACCAGAATCCCAGAATGGTGGAGTTTGGAAGGGACACCCTTCCCACAGAGACACCCGGAGCACCCGGGCGCATCCCGACGCGTTGGGAGCTCTCCAGAGCAGGAGCCTCCGCAGCCTCCCTGGGCAGCCTGGGCCAGGGCTCGGGCACCCTCACACTCCACTTCTTCTTCCACCCTCCCAGTCACCTTGTTCTTCCTCACATGCACATGGAGGATGGACACGCAGTCACACACACTCCTGCATGCCCCAGGTGGACACGGGCAGGAACCCACCGTACAGACACCCACATAAGTAAAAGCAGCTCTCATACAGAATCATGGAACCACAGAATGGTTAAGGTTGGAAGGGACCTCTAGACATCCAACCTTCCTGCTCGACCAGGGACACCCAGAGCAAATGGTACAGGGTGGCATCCAGGCGGGTTTTGAAGACCTCCAGAGAAGGAGACTCCACAACCTCCCTGAGCAGCCTGTGCCAGGGCTCTGGCACCCTCACAGTGAAGTTGTTCTTCCTCACTTGGAGACAGAGATGATACAAGGCGTCAACAACACTAATGACTTGACCCCTTCCTGCACGGTGGTTGACGGTGTTTAAAGTTTGCTAGTGAAACGTATACATGCACTCCCTCCCTTAACTCCCACGAAAGGTCACAGTTACACTTCAGTCTGTTGGGTCTTTCCAGATGATAGTTTCCCACTTCAGTTTCACTAGTAGATCTCTTCACATGTGCCCCCACAGAATAGAGCCTAAACTTAGGGTAAATAGCAGTAGTATTTAATAAAAAGATAGAGCAGCCTTTGCTGATCATGGACGGGACTCGACCAGACAAATGAACCGGCTACCCTGCTTGCTTGTGATCRGCCTCTTTTATGCTCCATGATCTCTACTTTGATGTTTTCTCTCTGATCCACTTTGACCCCCTCCCTTTCCCCCACTTGGGATCCCTCCCTTAGGTATCCAATAAGGAATTCTGCACATTCCCACAATCACCCCTAGGATTTCCTGCTAGTTTGTTCTTTCTCTTGGCACCAGTTTTAATTGCCTGTTAATATTTATTAATGAGTTTTTGGTCAAACCAAATTCAAAAAGAATCAGAATTATCTTTAAGTGATTCATTTAATGATCCATCAATCCATGTCTTGCTGGTCTGACTGTCTGTTGTTATCTCCAGTTCCTTAGAGCTTGTGTATCTTTGTGTTTATATTTTACCTCTCTCGCTTTATGCCCTCCCTTCTATGCTAGATAACCATTGCTGGGTATGCAGCCTCCCCCGTGCAGGCTGGCACGTCTTCGTGCCCCTGTTTGACACCTCTGGGCTGTGCCACAGGCGSCCTTTAGGGGACAGTTCTCCAAGAGGAGGCTGTGGGGCTGCGCGGTTCCTCTCCTTGTCACCTCGGGGTGTGAGGCTGTCTCGCTGTCTTTATGTGTGTGACCAGAGGTAGGTCTGGCAGGCAGGCTTTAGTGCGGAGAGCCGGGAGTACGGCACAAAGACCTTGCGTTAGTCTGAATCATAGAGTCACAGAATCCTGAAGGSTGGAAGGACCTTTAGAGATGACCCAGTCCCACCCCCTGCACACGCAGGGTCACCCAGAGCATGGGGCAAGCACAGAGCTTGGACACATCCAAGCAGGTTTGGGAGGTCTCCAGAGCAGGAGCCTCCACAGCCTCCCTGGGCAGCCTGTCCCAGGGCTCTGGCACCATCACCGCCAAGAATTTTTTCCTCAAGTTCCTGCGGAACTTTTGGTGCTTCAGTTTGTGGCCATTTCCTCTAGTCCTGTCGCTGGCCACCACTGCAAAGGGCCACCCCATCCTCTTCATTCCCTCCCTTGAGGTGTCTCTAGACACTGCTCGGGTCCCCCCTCAGCCTCCTCTCCCGCAGGCTGAGCAGGTCCAGCTCCCAACCTTGGGGATCCTGCGCTTGGCTGTGGATCACAGGGCAGGTCTGGTGAGATGCCCCTGTGCTGGGGCAGCGGCGCCAGCCCGCCTGCGCTTAGCTTTGCCCCAGGGCTGCTTCTCACGGCCACATTTTGCTCTTGTTGGCATCATTCTCCTGCCTTCGTGCCCTTCTCAATAGTCCGTCCCTCAGTATTCCATCACATTTATGGAGACAGGTGCATCCCTTCAGCCTTTGATATTCTAATCAAGCTGCTTTAAATCTTGCTTTATATTAACTTGTCTTAGCTTTCTTTAGCTTGCTTGCTTCACATTAACTTGCATTGGCAAGCATTAGCTTGCTATATTGATTGTATTAGCTTGCTTTACTTGCATTAGCAAGCATTAGCTTGCTTTACATTAACCTGTACTAGCTTTTTTTTTTTTTTTTTAAGTATAAACGATGGGAATAGTACGCAGGGTGTTTTGGGTGAGTTTTTGAATCAGGGCCCTTTACAAACAGCATTGCCACTTCCCTGTACATGCTGGAGATACCTCCTCATCCAAAGCACCATGACTGGTGGTTCCACAGCAGGACTGGGGTTGCATTCTTGAGAAGACCTGCCAACGCTCGCTGGAGAGCGTTCGCTTGCCCAAAAGAAGCCCAGTTGTGCGCCGGGCAGCCGGGCACTGCTGCCGGCAGAGTCTCCTTCTCAGTGTTTCCAAATCCGCCCGTACCCAGGGGACGGGATGTGTGAGGGGCGGCAGCAGGGGACTGACCCGAGCGGCTTTAGTGGCTTCAGAGGGGCGGTTTTAGTGTGGCCGCCGGCCGCTGGTGGGGCCGGGTCCCAAAGCTGCCCTTGCACCTGGGCTCGGTTCCGGCTCTGCTCGGCCCCGATGCTCCTGGGGCTCGGGGCCGTGCTGAGGTGGGACGGGCGGCCGAGCTGCCTGCGCGAGGGCTGCAGCCCGACTGGCTTTGCGCCCTCGGCCGTGTCCCTTGGCTCCAGGGTGCTTTGGCAGCAGCTCTAGCAGGTCCCCGAGGAGGGGCAGCACTGTGGCGGGGGGCCCTTCGGGGCGCCCAGCCACGCGCTCACCCCCAGGGCGCCCGCGGGCAGCGCTCTGACGCCGAGTCTGCGGGTCGTTCTAGATCAATGGGGTAGACATGACAGAAGCCAGGCATGATCAGGCCGTAGCGCTGCTTACCGCGTCCTCCCCCACCATCGTGCTGCTGGTAGAGAGAGCGGGCGCGGAGCAGCCCGGCGAGGGAGACGCGCCGGCGGGGCCGCCCCGCGCGCGCATGCACTCGCCCCCGCCGCCCCCCGGCCCCGGGGACAGCCCGCCCGAGGAGGCGCCGCCGCCGCCGCACAGGAGCCCGCTCGCCAAGGGCCTGGACGAGCAGTACCCCGTGGAGGTGAGTCCGGCACGCGGCATGCGGACACAGCGGGCGCCGGAGCCTCCCGCGGCTCCTCGGCCCAGCTGCTCCCCGAGTCCCTGTGRTCCCATGTCTCTCTTCTCTGTGACTCACTCTGCTGCTTCTTCCCTCAAGGAGATCCACCTCGTAAAAGCCGGGGGGCCCCTGGGACTCAGCATCGTGGGCGGCAGTGACCACTCCAGCCACCCCTTTGGCATCCACGAGCCAGGGGTCTTCATTTCAAAGGTAGGGTCTGCGTGGGCAGCCTGGCGATGGACGTCCGTGAGTTGCTCGATTGCTGGGGCCAAGAAAAAGGATTTTGAAGTAAGACCCTGGTTGAAAAGAATGCAAAAAGTGGGGAATAGGGAGGAGGGATGAATGTATGTGAATACATACCTGAGGGCTGTGCTGCCATCCAGAGGGACCTGGACAGACTGGAGGACTGGGCGGYGAGAAACCTCATGAGGTTCAACAAGGGCAAGTGCAAGGTCCTGCACTTGGGGAGGAATAACCCYGGACACCAGTACAGATTAGGAGTGGACCTGCTGGAGAGCAGTCCCGCAGAGAGGGACCTGGGTGTCATGGTGGACGACAAGTTGACCATGAGGCAGCAGTGTGCCCTGGTGGCCAAGAAGGCCAATGGGATCCTGGGGTGCATTAAGAAAAGCGTCTCCAGCAGGTCGAGGGAAGTGATCATCCCCCTCTACTCAGCCCTGGTGAGGCCACATCTGGAGAGTGTGTCCAGTTCTGGGCTCCCCAGTACAAGAGGGATGTGGAGCTGCTGGAGAGAGTCCAGCGCAGGGCTACSAGGATGATCAGGGGCCTGGAACATCTGCCATATGAACAAAGGCTGAGAGAGCTGGGTCTGTTCAGCCTGGAGAAGAGGAGGCTGAGGGGGGACCTCATCAGCCTGTATAAATACCTCAAGGGAGGCAGTGAGGAGGAGGGGGGCAGCCTCTTTTCAGTGGTGGGCAGGGATAGGACTAGAGGAAATGGCTTCAAACTGAAGCATCGGAAGTTCCACAGGAACTTAAGGAAGCATTTCTTCACTGTGAGGGTGACAAAGCACTGGAACAGGCTGCCCAGAGAGGTTGTGGAGTCTCCTTCTTTGGAGATCTTTAAAACCCGCTTGGATGCAGCCCTGTGCCACGTGCTCTGGGTGACCCTGCGTGAGCAGGGGGGTTGGACTCGATGACCTCTGAGGTCCCTTCCAACCTTCGGCATTCTATGATTCTATGATTCTAATACATGCATTGAGGGAGGGAGCAGGGAGGAGGGGGCCAGCAAGAGGAGATGGCCACAAATGGAAGCATCAGAAGTTCCACAGGAATTTAAGGAAATTTTTCTTGACTGTGAGSGTGCCTGAGCCCTGGGACAGGCTGCCCAGGGAAGCTGGGGAGCTCCTGCTCTGGAGAGCTCCCAACCCGCCGGGACACAGCCCGTGCCCCGTGCTCCGCGTATCCTGCATGTGCAGGGGGTTGGACCAGACGACCTCCAGAGACCCCTTTCAASCTCAACCATTCTGTGATTCCATGAGTCTATGAGATTTGGTGTTCATCTGAGAGATAACGGTATTAAAACACAGGGCAGAGCTTAGAACAGGAGAAAGGCAGTCATATTAAAGGGCCTGTGATAATCTTCCATGATGTGCTAGATGATTTCTTTTGTGGCTTTAATAATATAAATGAAAATCCCACTTGAAAGGCATCCCATAGCAAATAACGAGTACTACCAGCAGTACCAGTTATATCAAGCTTTGTCAGATGGCTGAAAATTTCTGTTTCCTTTTGGGCTGTGTCCCAGGCTTCCTGCTCTCCTCAGGTGTGAGCAATTTTAACGTGCAGTTGTGTGACAGCAGCTCATTTTTGCTGGGTATTTCCCTGTCTGCTCTCTTGCCTTCCACGGTTCTGGTGATTCAGCACTTTATTCCCATGCCTCAGAAGCTTCCTAATTAATTACAGCGCACCAGTAAAAGGCATGTAAATGCACACACAGTGCTTAGTGGATGGGCTTGTGATGGCTTCCTCAAAGGCATTCATACATTAACTCAGCAGATTCTTTGCAGATAAATTATCTCCTGGTTACAGTTGCAGAGAGAGGAGTCAGAAGAGGCCTCAGAAGGTGTTGGAAGAGAGTCTAGGAAAGAGTGATTATTATCCCTCACTGTTTCCAGGAAAGCTCTGATGTTTACTTGGTTGCTGTTCATGGGGTTTTGTTTGTTTGTTTTTCCAAGGCTGCCTGCAGCTGCATCAGGTCTATTTATAGAGAGGTGCAGTTTGCTCTCCCAGTTGTAACCATAATGAACGTTGGCAGGTGATTCCGCGTGGGCTGGCGTCGCGCAGTGGGCTCCGCGTGGGCGATAGGATCCTGGAGGTGAACGGCATCGACCTGCGCCATGCCACCCACCAGGAAGCTGTCAACGCGCTGCTCTCCAACACACAGGAGCTCACGATGGTGGTGAGGCGGGATCCACCTCCACCTGGTATGCAGGTAGGTTCATTACTGGGGGAAATCACTCTTTTCCTACAGAAATCCCACCTTTSAAGGCCATTTCTTATTGAGCTGGCAATTTGGGACTAGGATACAACCAAAGTTCTGACCAGAAGCTTTTTCCTCTTGTGGCAAGACCAAGTCTCTTATAAGTATGTCCAGCTGGGAATTGTGCAGCAGCTGTTGCCCATGATGACATTGTAATCAGTGAATATCAGGTTTCATGAAGACTAGACTTAGAAGAGGAGACAGAAATAGAAAGAAAAGGGAAGAGCCAGATCAGACAGGCCAAACGGAGAMCTGGCTGCAAGGCAGAGCCAGAGGGTTGTGCTGAGTGGTGTCAGGTCTATTTGGAGGCCCGTAGCTAGCAGTGCTCCCCGGGGTCAATAGTGGGTCCCGTCCTGTTCAGCTGCTTCCTGAGTGACTTGGATGAGGGGACAGCATGAAGCCTGGTGGTCCTAGTCCCAAACCAGGAGCAGGAGCTGATCCAGCACCTGTGGGATCAGGAGAGGCTGGAGAGGTGGTTGGAGAGGAATCTCATGGGACTGCAGCAAGGCCAGTGCAGGGACCTGTCCCTGGGCAGGAGGAGCCACCGCAGGCACCAGGCCRGGCTGGAGTGACCTAACGGAGGCTTCCTCTTGTGTTAGAAAGGACTGAAAGAGCTGGGCTGGAGAAAGGAACCCAAGGGGGTCTCATCCACACTTGCTGGTGGTCCCAAACTGGGAGCAGGGGCTGATCCAGCACCTGTGGGACCAGGAGAGGTGGTTGGAGAGGAACCTCGTGGGGCTGCAGCAAGGCCAGTGCAGGGACCTGTCCCTGGGCAGGAGGAGCCACCGCAGGCACCAGGCCAGGCTGGGGACCCGCTGGGGGACCCAGGCTGGGGGACCCGGTGTCCTGGGAGCATTGGGAAGAGTGTTGGAGGGAGCAGATCCTGCCCCTGCGCCGCGGGGTGCAGAGGCCACGTGTGGAGCTGGCTCCAGTGCTGGGATCCCCGGGACGAGAGGGACGTGGAGCTTCTGGAGTGAGGCCGGGGGGCTCCGGGGGTGACGGGGTCCTGGAGCCTCCCTGCCATGAGCAGAGGCCGTGGGAGTCGGGGCTGTCCGGGGCAAGGAGGAGCCCTGGGGACCTTATCAGCATGTCCGGGTATCTGAAGGGAGGATGTAGAGAGGATAGGGCTGGACTTGTTTCAGTGATGGCGAGCAACAGAATGAGAGGAAAAGGCCTCAAACACAAGAAGTTCCATCTGAACATATGAAGAAACTGCTCTACTGTGAGGATGATGGAGCAGTGRAACAGGCTGCCCGGAGAGGCTGTGGAGCCTCCATCAGAAGCCACCTGGACAGGGCCCCGAGCAAGGTGCTCAAGGTGACCCTGCTTGAGCAGGGACGGGGGCAGAGGTGGGGAGAACTAGATGATCTCCAGACGTCCCTTCTAAACTCACACTTYTGTAATACAGTGAAAAAGAAGCAATTGAGGCAAATAAGTGAAAGGTACAAATCACAAAGTCCCTTTCAGGGTTTTTAGAATATGGTCAGTTATGAGAAGTATGTTTTTCCTCAACAATTTCAGTCTGAACCCAGAAACAAGATCTGTTCTGTGTCCACAGGAAATATGCATTGAAAAGGCTCCGGGAGAAAAACTGGGCATCAGCATCCGGGGTGGAGCAAAAGGCCATGCCGGGAATCCCTTTGATCCCACTGATGAAGGCATCTTCATTTCTAAGGTACCAGACCCTCGGATCTTCAACTTAGCTTCATGCAAGGGCTGCTAGGGAGAAAAGTGATCCCTGTGGGAATTTCTTCCATTTGCTGTCTTCACTTTTCACTAGATGTACCATTTTTCCCAGAGTTTTGTCCTTCCACTGAAGTGTATGCATGGGTACCTTTTCATATTTTCTTCTCTACAACAGCTGCAAGATTTCTTCATTTCTGATGTTTGCCTCTGTTTTGCATTTCTTGCATTTGCATTTCTTGCATTCTTGCATTTCTTCTCTTGCAGTTTTTTCCATGAAATGAATGCACGTTCCATAATTTTCCTCTGTATTCTCATTGCTTCCCCCGAGTGCTTGTGACTTTCTGTCTACTCAGCCGTGCCTGCTCTTCCCTCCTTTCTTGAAAGCATTATGCATTCCTTATTTTTATTCCTGCCCCGTGTATCATGTGTAATTCTACTCCCTTTCCTTACTAATTCACTGCTTGTGTCCATACTCCTTTGCAATGTCGCTTTYCCTGAAGGTGACACACATTTCTTGTCAACAATATATTCTTATATGTGTTTATGCTCCCACCAAGAACTGTTGCATTTTCTTTCTTGGTAGCAAGAAAGCATCATGACCAGAGGTGTAATCTTTGGACCCAAATCATTTCCCATCTCTTGCTGCTGACCAGGGTGGATTTTGTGGGGGTTCATGCTAGCACCAAAGGTTCCCTCTCTAGCTGTGTTTTGGTAGGGAGGAAATGCTGCAAAACCTTAGACATCTTAATAATCCTTGCTGGATAGTGGACACTCCACAGCTGCTAGTTAATCTCCTACAATGACTTGCTTTCAATGAAAAGGGATATTCAACGTTTGTTATCGCTTTTGATATCACTTTTTTATCTGATTTTTAAACTAAAAGAGTAAGTACCCTCTGTGAAAGTAATAGTATTTTGTATAACTGCAATATTTGTAATAGTGGTGAAAGAAAACCTAAGATTCTTGTAATCCAAAATAGTTTTTAATGATTAGTCTTGGTTTTGTCTTCCTCGGTGTTTCAGCATGTAGGTTTTTGTCAGGCTGGCAATTTAGCCACATTGCGGGGTTAGTTTGCCTTTTTTAATCTTTTTTTTTTATCGCTTTAGCTTGCCCAGAGCCAGAGTGTTTCACTTTTCTGCTTTGCTACTGACTGTGTCCTTTCAGCCTGGTCTCTCTTACCTGCCCCTCACGATTGTGTGTTTGCTGATTCCTTTTCTTTGCCTCGGGATACCTCCTGTAACAGGCAGGGCTTGTTCTCMTTGATGTTGTTTGGGTGTCTGGCTGCCACCTGCTTTCCACTCAGTCTTTCTGAATTTGCATTTCTGTTCCRTACCTTAATTATCAGTTCTTTTATCTTTAATCTGGCTCATTTTAAACCCTTTTTGATGAAGTGTTACAAGTTGAGGACCATGACGAGTGTTAATTATACCTACAGTTTGAAATTCCTGATCTGTCCCAGTGGGGATAGCACAGAGTCCCCCAGTAAACGTATGAGTAGTACAGCTGACAGGTGGGATAAGGACACGTTTCTACATTAACTTCACCTCCTCCCATTATTTCTGGGTGTTCTACTGTCACACTTGTGCACTTGCTCTCCCTGGAAAAGAAATTGTGAGTACTTGGTCTTTTTCCATTGAGCTGCATGGGGCCACTTTGTGCATGCACAGGCACCACGCACACTTACTTGTTTTCCTTTTCAGCCTTGAGGGAGGTCTGCATAGGCATGCATGGCTGCCCTCCCTCCCCCAGACCGATGAGAAAGTGCATGCAGCATTTTCTTCTCCTCTTTTTGTAGGTACTTTGTTAAATATACATCATATCCGGTGTTTTTTTTGTCCCAAACAAATCTCATAAACCAGCCAAACACTCATGTTTGCTATTATTTTTCATTTTCACTCCTCCCAGTAGCACACAGTTTGCAGTTATCCTTTCTTTCCTTCCGATAACACCCGTGCCATCGCACTCTCCTTCCCACCTTGGCAGCCAGTCCAACATGTCTTTGCATTTGCTTTTGTCTCAGATTTGCAGGCTTTGGTCGAGATCCCTGATGTTTGTGTATTCCTCTGCAAAGCCCTCGTGTAGCCCTGGYCCTAGTTTTCTTCACCAAGGCTCGTTGTGTCGGTTCCTCAGCCTTAAGAGGGGCTTTTGGACTGAAACCATTCAGTTGTGTCTGGTCCTTCCAGCCAGTCCTGTGGGTGCCCAGCCCCGAGCTGGGTGTCTGGTCTGGCTGAGCGTCTATCTGTGTCCCATTTTGTTCCAGGCTTCTCGATTTCCCTTTAAAACAGTAATGGTGATTCTCTCCCTTTCCCCAAGGCTCTCTGTCTCCTGTGTTTCTGTCCTGTTCCTGGTAGCACCTTCTTCCAGCTCTGTGTTGCTCTGTTGTTTCTCACTTCTGCAGCTTGCGTGTTTTTCCTATAGCAATTTGCATGTGCTCTTTTCTTTCCTTTTTTTTCCCTGCCAGTTCTGCAGTCTCTTTTCCCTGCCCTCAAGAGCAAAATGAGCAAAACCTTTATGTTTAGTTCCTTTGTTCTGGTGACAAAGCATGCGTCCTCCTTCTCAAACTTCTGGATGCTTGCACTGTTTGGACAAGCTCTGACTTCGTGCACCCCACCGACGTGTTGCATGTAGTGGCTTCCCCTGGGGACAGTCGTGTCCCTGAGGCAAGGATGAGTCCTCGTGACCTGTGGAGGGAAGAGAACAGGAGTTCCTGCTTCTGTTCCTGCTATTTCTGTGATAAAGAGGAGGGGAAATGACACATGTGTGTAATTTGTCATGTCTGTATCTACTGTGAAGACGACGAGCAGTCTGTGCAGCATCTTTACCTACACAATTACGTACTCATGCTTGTGTTTTCCTTCTCCCGTGAAAGGCTGCACACTGCTTGCTCCCTCTCCTATGTCCCATCTCTCATCTCCTTTCCCTAACACCAGTTATTGTACTTTCCTTCCTCTGAAAACAAGTYGCAGACGTGTGAGCTTTCTTTTCCTGCCTCACTGACACACCACAGCAGCAGTTTCCTTCCTTGGGGCAAGACATTTCAAACACATACTCCTCTCCTGTAAGCAATTTCTTCTGYACCCATTTCCTCTGTGAACTTCACACGTTCTTCCTTTCATCCCCTCTCCCGAAGTGTGTGGATACTTCCCAGCCCTTCCCTRTCATGCACCCCGTGTCTTTCCCCCCTGCTTCCTTCATTCATTTTCACTCCTCATTGCTCCTTCCTGCTGCTCCTCGTGCCCTCCCTTCCTGCCTCCTCGGACCAGCTCATGATTCTCCTGCTCCTCCTAGGTGAGCTCCTCCGGGGCTGCCGCCCGCGACGGCCGCCTGAAGGTGGGCATGCGCATCCTGGAGGTGAACCACCAGAGCCTGCTGGGCATGACGCACACGGAGGCTGTGCAGATGCTGCGGGGTGTGGGCGACGCGCTGCTCGTGCTCGTGTGCGACGGCTTCGATCCCAAGGCCGCGGCTGCCATTGAGGTGAGAGCTCGAGGGCGGCACCGAGCTCTGTGCCGTGCTCTGAGCCGGTCCCACGGATCCCCCCAGCCCCTTGCAGCAAGCGCGGCCTTTTCCAGCCTTTGGGAAAGTGTGAAGAAACGTGCCTTTGATTTTTGACTATTTTGCTTTTTAAGTACTAGGTTCTAAACTCTGATCTCATGCTAAATGAACTGGAGCTTCAAAGTCATTTTCTCCTGGGCATTTTATGCCTATTTGTTCTTTACCAATGTTGTTTTTGAAATTCCTTTCCCTTTTCCCCTCTTCTTCCCCTCTTCTTCCCCTCTTCTTCCCCTCTTCTTCCCCTCTTCTTCCCCTCTTCT